GTTTCTTCTTTTCACCCTCATTAAAAGTCACTACATCGGTAGTCCACATAGTGATGTGGCACAGTTTTTACACAGGATGCCCTCCCTGACCTCACCCCTCAGTGCTGGGGGATAGAAGTCAAGGCAGGAGCAGGATTCAAAAGAGGAGCCAGGGCCCAGCAGGTGAGAAACCCTACCACTGTGCAACTGCTGCTGAATGAAAAGCTATTTACAGAGAGTGATTTTAATTTTAGCTTCATTTGTCGTGTGTACTGTTGATCTCAGTACTTCATACACTACTATGTTCTTGCTCTTCCTCCTCCACCTGGTGAACCTGAGGGAGCAGCTTATCGTGATGCTGTATATTCTAAGGTCTTTGCTTGACTGTTCACTTGGTGATGGGTTAAATACAGAGGATAAATTTCGTTGTGCATGGTGTGCTGTGCTGTGTCACAATGACAAAATAAAGATAAAAAAAGTTTTTTTTTTTTTAAAGTTTTTTTAAAGTTTTTTTTGACATTCCGTGACTGCGAACGCTATTTTTGTTCACAAATATTACAAGGTAATTAGTTTAAACCCACTGTGACATAAACACACACAACCAGTGAGGAATTAATATGTACGTATATGTTACCTACTACATATATAAGACTCTAAGAGTTTCAAATAATTGATTAGATAACGGATGTAAATCTTTTTTTTTTGTGGTATGGATTTGTTTATTGTTCATTTTTTAGGGATTCTAAATAATCGCCAATGTGGACATTGCCAGAAAATGTGCAACATTGCAAAAATATTTTGAAGTTTAATCGAGGCTGAAGCCCAGTACGGCATGCAGTAGCCTGATAATATCTATTTATTTATCTGTACAAACCACTGTTTGAGTATGAGATTAATTAAATGAGCTGCAATGCTGCCATCTAGTGACCTATGCATTAATACAGAGCTGTTTATGCCCAAAACTATTTTTAGGGCACACATCATTTAGGGAAACCCAGGCATTGCGTTATCAGGTTTTCATTATCGGAGGAAAAACCGATAACGATTCTTACAGATATTACATAATTATGCTAATATCGGGCCGATATTATCGGTTGGCCGGTATTATCGGACATCTGTTTTAATTTTTACACAGTTCACTCTACAACAGCGGTTCTGTTGCTTCCCCAATGCCTCCCTTTATAGTAGATAGAACTATTTCTATCCGCCCCCCACCTGATCAATGGCTCCTCCCACACAGATTTAGTGCGATTTGTCTGGGCTGAACACCTTGAATTGAAATTCTGTGTGGGTTTCCACGTCATGACTGATCAACAGAATCCCAGTGTGAGTCACATACAGGAAAAAAAAACAAAAAAACAAAAAAAACCTGACTGATGAGTGCAGCGAGGATCAGGACCGCCATATGAATAGTAATAACCAAAATTAAGGATAAACAAAAGCAGTGATATGACAGACAGCGAGCTTTGTCTTCTGCAGCCATAGATTTTCACTGATTGGTTTGGAGTTTAGTCAAATCTTTTTCACATTAAGACATGGGACAATGAACGGCCATAAAAGATGCAACAAACTGAAATAGAAAGCGCAGCCTGCTGTGCTCACACACACACACACACACACACACACACAAACATACATACACAGAGAATGTATAAGATAAAATTAGATCCGTTTGTTACACTTCCGTTCATCGTTATCAAATCCTTCAAGCGTGTAATTTAATTGCTGCAGTTCAATTGGTTACATCCAGGGAGAGCTTCCTAGTTATTGAAATGTTTCCATGTCACAGATAATAAGCACAGGAATTAGCGTTGTAGCGTCGCACGATCCGGGCACTCGTTTGCATTTCCTCGTGTTTTCTTGTTAATTGAAAACTGGGAATGACATTGAAGTCTAATTTTCAAACCGCAGTAATTGGACGAATGATAGATGATTAAAATGTCAGAGTGGAGAAACACCGGCAAAGTTCAAAGTTCAAAGACTTCCTTTGCAATTTATCGGTAAAATTGGAGAAAAATAATGAAATACGAAGCTGAATTTACATCGACTGGAGCTAATCTGTAAATGAAATTTAACGTTGATGAGCTGTGACGAAATCTGGGTGAAATGTCACAACCGAGCGCTACTCTCCTACAAAGGAGATTTTTTATCAACCGCTAACAATGTTCCACTGCAACATAACAGCCCGTCGTCACTGCGAGAAAACAACTCTACCAGTGTTTAAAGTTGGTTGGTTTCTCCTCTCCTCTCCAAGTCTTCACACCCACACTGTTACAGCAGGTGTGGCATGTGGCAGAAGTGAGAACGCTAACAGCGATGACACAGTGAGTAGGTGGAGTAAGACTCATCTTGGTGAAAAGGATAAATATCCAAAGATCGAGCTTTTTTTTCGGTGTAATCATGCAGACTGTTTACAAACAAATCCATTTCAAATATAAAACTGGAAATGATGGGTATTTCTAATGCTTACTGTGTGCATTTAGCCTCCTGACCTGATGATACTATAACTACCACTGTCACTATAACATATTTGCCTAAGGCAGAGATTCCCAACCACTGTGGCGTGAGAACCCTTCAAGTGTACCATGAAAAACTCCTATTTCATTAAATTGGTCTGAAAAAGAACCAAACTTTTATTTATTAGCTGCAAATCATGTCTTCGTTAGTCTAACAGAAACAGACAAGAACCATTAAAAACATGATCTTTTAATGAAGAGCATCATGATGGTCTTTCTTCAATTCCTGCAAGTATATTAGTGCGCTCTCTCAGGTATTAAATAAAACAAAAGGTAAGCCAATTGTTTATTGACTATAGCTCGCGAGCTAATATATACCCAATTAAGATTTTAACAATTACTCGGTACTTTGTGAAGAACCCATTTTTTTAAATTGTGAGTGACTTTCTTGACCATTTTTTAAATTGTGAGTGACTTTCTTGAATAACACCTTGTGCCATTTTTATGGTCCAATTTAGAGGAAAATAACCATAAATTGCCACATGCCTGTCCTTACACCCAGTATAGCTGTCAGTCACACGATGCCCACACATACACACAACTAATGTTTATACTCGTATTCCTGACAATAAAATCATGATTCCCAAAACTGACACCTCATGCTGTTAGAGAAGAAACTTTTGATTATGAAGTCAATATTATTCAAGTCAGAATTAGCAGCAATAGCCTGCACTGAAGTAGGTTCAGATTGACTGTTGGCTGAGATGGTAACAGATGGCAACAACGTCTTTGTTGATTATTCAGTTTATGGCAGTTGTATTTTTAGTTTGGCACAACAAACTCATAGTGAAATATAAGGAAATGCAACCAAAAAAACATAACTTTTTGTTCACCATCTCAGATTTTCTGACTGTAAAGCAAACCAGACTTTCACCTTGACATCTGATAAACAAAACTATTTTGTTTTTCTATTTATACCGGAAGATGAAGAACAATCAGCAGCTTTTTTGTTAATGAATGTGATTTTTCTGTAAATCACCAAAGAAAAAAAAAATACCATGAGTTTGTTCCAAGGACAAAAATCAAAACTGCTGTGCAAGCATCTTGAATTTCTGGCTCAAAAAAAAAAAAAAAAATCAAATTTAAATGATCAGCATTCTTTCATTTGAAAAATGCCAAAAAAAAGAAAAAAAAATACTTTGCAACACTGCAGCTAGAATCGACCACCCCCAAAATTATTTTTCTCTGCAAGGACCGCAAATAACATGAATTCAGCTGTTTGACTCCTGACCAGAACTAGAAAGGCTGGAGAGAGTGTGTGGTTTGACGTGGGTCCAACTATCTCTCAGGATTGATTTTAAAATCCTATTGCTTGTACATAACGCACTTAATGGATGAGCTCAAACTGCTGACTCCCTGATGCTGTTTTTTTAAGTGCCTTCATCTTCCCTCATATCATCATCAGTCGTGCGACAACAGACGAGGAGTGTTTTTTTGGGTGGCTTTGTTCTCAGGCTGTGAAATATGACCTCCCCCCACCCCCTGAAAAATAGATGACCCCCGTGGAAATGTGCACATTGTCATTCAGTGCACAATTACTGTCATTTTTTTAAATTCAATCTTTAAACCAAAATGATTGGAGCATTATTACAACCATTTGGAGTGACCCACGGTGTGAATGTGATCACAGTCATATGCCTTAACTGGCGCACTGGTCTGTGAGCTGCAGTTTATGCACAGCCTCAGCCAATCAGTTAACACCGACACAGAGCTCCGACAAGACGTGCCAGGTCCTCTGATGTCATTAATTAACTGCAGTGTATGTCAAAAGACAGATCAATCATAAAGGTGCGTTGGGGTACTATATAGTCAGACAGTATATATGACAGTATATAAGGTAGTATAAATCTTGATTATTCGAGTTCAACCATGAGACGTTCGAAAAAGGGGGCTTATGAAATTCCTCTGATTCCTCTGCAAATTTGAAGTTAAATTTATTTATTTTTGGGAGGTTTAAGGTGAAGTTCATGTCTTTAACTAGTACTCCTAAAATATGACGCGTGTTCACTTTATTGGGTTACTGGGACATATTTTGCTTTATGGCAAGATAGATTATCTTAATGAGAAATAAATCGGTTTTTATTTTTATATTACAATTTCAAGGGGGTCTTAAGCTTTGAGACTAAAGCCAAGCTCTTGTATAAGCGTGACTAGTTACACTTGGGGGACTTTCTTGTCCCATACCATGTAACTCTATACTTTGATCATAATCATTATATCATGACAAGAAGTTCAGTTCTTGGACGAGACAAAGATAAGACGGTTTAAATGATGTTACACCGAATTACTAGGAGCAGGAGTCCGAACGCATACATGACTAAGCTGTAAAAAAAAAAAGAAAAATTCAGACGGGCTATTTTCTTCTTTTTTTTGCAGCTTTCAGTCTGACAGTAATAAAAGTTAACGACCTGACAGTGACCACGCAGCCCGGTGGCCGTCAGTGCCCATCAGCCACACTGCGTCAATAGGTCTTTGTGCGTAAATGTGGAGAGCACCGAAACTTACGCTGCTGTTCTGGCCGGACCAGTGCACCATCGCCTGGTTGTGAGCCGTGTCCCCGCTGAGGGCGAACGTGGAGCTCGTGAGCTGAAACTCTTCCGGCTCCAAAAACGAAACCTCATCCTCTCCTCCGGGTCTATAACCGGGCCAAGTCTCTGCGCCCCTCCGCGTTCGTCTCCAACTTGTTCCATCCTCGTCCTCTCCGTTTATAATCTGCTCCACATTTGCCTGGTCGCTGCGTTTCTGGGTCTGGTTCGGGTGCAAAGACGCGTCTGGCAAACCTCCAGTGTGGAAAAGTTTCTGTGGCTCGTTCGAAGCCTCATTTTCACCGACACTTGTTTCGTTTCCCCGCGACCAAGGCTGCACTTTGAAATAACTTTCTTCGCTCTCACTAAATTCCGCTGCGTCGTGCTGTCCGTCGCCGACGGCTGTGGGTTCGGCGCCCGGGAACTCCTCGTTATATCCAGCGAACTCCTGTTCCTCTGGTGCCTCTCCAAAATGATCCAGGTCCAGCGCAGAGAGTTTCCCGGGAGATGCTGCTCCGAGCGGCAGCTGGCATGAGGGGATGCACCTCACCTCCGCCTTGGCTCCGCTCAGGATGGAAGTTAGGCTGAAGATCCAGATCCACTCGTGGAAAACGACCGTGAGGCAGTGACCGAGGCGCATCTCCATTCTCCGTGAATTCCCTTAGTTCGGGCGTGTTAAAAACACATCATTTTTACAGTGGCGCGTCCGTCCGTCATCACCTGCTGAAGTGGAGCCAGTGAATGCGCTGTCGGGAGGTGCGGCAGCACGCACACAAGTGTTCCGAAGTACTGATGCAAACGATGCATCAGAGGAGGAGCTGGAGGCTGGAGGCTGGAAGCTGCACTAGAAGAGGAGAGGAGAGGAGAGGAGCCCGTGGAGCCAGAGTCCGCCTCTGAGGCTGCACGGAGTACAAATACTTCAATAATTAAGTATTTGTACTTAAATGTGAATTTAATTAGTTAATTAACCGCGACTACTTGATTAGGCTTTAACCAAACAGTTTTCTGGATACTCTAAATTTTGGATTGGGAAATAGTGTCTTTAAATCATTGTTTCCCAAAGGCTGGGTCGTAACCCTCAGGTGGGTCGCAAGAGGGTTTTTTTGGGTCGTCTCGCATCATGTTTCCTAGGAGTTTACGAACAACGTATACAGACTTGGGTCGCGAAGGTTTGTGACTGACCAGGATAAAGTGATCTACCTATATTGGAAATGTTTTATATATATTTACTCGTAGTAGTGCTTTGGCCCAGAGCCAATGTCTCTGTCATTGGTGTGGAACCCCAGGGTTCACCTCCTGGGCAAGATCGAATCCCTGTTAGGGCGGTTGGTACCTTCCAGTGGACTGACCACCCGTAGGACGGTGGAAGGAACGATCAACCAGCACTTACTTTGCGATCTACTTGTAGACGCACTGGGCAACACTGCTTTAAAGTTAGCACATATGATTTTCTCTCTTTCGCGTATAGCGCCGTGTGACGACGTATCCCTCCACTCCACCCGCCAACTAGTTCCCGTCCAAAATTTGTCTGAATCCCGTATGTTGGAATGATGGAACAACACTTTGTTAATAAATTTATGGGAGCTGGTGACGTAACCACAAAGCGCTGCAGGTCGAGGACGTCATAAACCGAGGACCACTTATATATACATTTTCTTTTTCTTATGTAACACTTAGAATCTGTAAGTGACTTTAACTTTATGTTAAACTGCTGCATTTATTATTTTAAAATATATTTTCATACTGCTACAGGTTTAAGAACTTGGAGAGAATCCATCGAACAACAGTCTTCAGAGGAAAGTCTGTGTTGATGCCAGAGGCCCAAGGTGAATGCTTAGAGCAAAAACACCAACCTAAATAACCCTTTGTATTTCCTGGACCGTTCTACCATCTACTGAGGTCCACGATGTCAGGCCTTGAAATCGCTGAGCTACAGCAGCAGAACACCTCACTGGTCATTTCAGCCTACTCATCCAGAAATAAGTGTTGCACCAATGTCACAGTGAAATACTGGAAGTCGCCCTGAAGGCTTTAACAGCGTTTTTTTCGGTGACAGAAATCCATATTTTAGCTTAATTGTACAGTAACGTAAAAACCCGTCCTCCGGTTCCAGTTAGTTTGTGGTCGCTGAAGTTTGAACACTTTTCTGTTACTGAGCTGAGAAGAATGGAGCTGAAGACTGTCATTTTAATGGTCGGATAGATAGATAGATGGATGGATGACAGATGGATGACAGATGGATGGATGGAGAGATAGATGGATGGATGGATGAATAGATAGATGGATGGATGGAGAGATGGATGACAGAAGGATGGATGATAGATGGATGAATGGATGGGTAGATGGATGGAGGATGGGTGGCTCTTAGATAGATGGATGATGGATGGATGGATAAATGGATGACAGATGGATGGATGGAGAGATAGATGGATGGATGGATGAATAGATAGATGGATGGATGGAGAGATGGATGACAGAAGGATGGATGATAGATGGATGAATGGATGGGTAGATGGATGGATGGATGGTAGATAGATAATTAGACAAATAGATCGATGGAAAAACAGATAGATAAACAGACAAATAGATAGATATATAGATGGGTGGATGGATGGATGGGTGGATGGATGGATGATAGATAAATAGCTGCAGTACAACACCAGAACAACAGGAATACATATTGTTTAAAAAGAAACTGCTGCCATTATTTTATCTCGGATAAAATCCCTCACTTTTTGACTTAAGATTCTCAGTGGCGAGCAGACGGACAAATGTCAGCGCTGACATAATCTCCTCCTGTTTTTATGTTCTGAATTATAACGACCTGAAAGGTCCTCCACTGTCCCGATCCCTGGGGACAGATCGGGGGATATTAGACTCCTGCGTCTGCCTCTTTGTGCGGTCTCGTCCGTGACACCGGGCTTTTTAAAAAGATACAAGCAGGTTTTGCATATTCCATTACCGCAGGCCACCGTAATCAATTAACAGGACCTCCTGTGTTCACTGTCAATTACACCGTACAGGTAATGACTCTGTTGTGGGCAGCCTGCAAATGGCTTGGAAATGGTTTGACTTTTATGGCAGATGCTGTATTATCCACTCAACGCAGAATCTGTTTGAATTTTTTTTTTTTTTTTTTTCAACGCATCTGTCCCTTTCACTGTTTAATACTGGGTTTTCTGGCAGCAAACAAAAGGAAAAGATCCAAAAGCAGAGGTGAGTAAATAAGCCATCCTGCTGTATTTAAATGCAGAGAGTGAGAGAAAGAGTGCAGATGGTACCAGAGTACTCTGACATTATACAAATATGTTGTTCTTACATCCCTCTATACTGCGGGCTTACTTCCAGTCGGCTAATGGTAAACCATTAGGAGGACTAGTGTCTGTCCAAAGCCTGTGATTAGATTCTGTTCTGGGCAGCATTTAGTCAATAGAACGAGGACGCTGTTGACTGGTGACTGATGCTGAAGACACTGTCTATATTGAGCTGTGTTCTCCCCGTCGCTCCGAGGCTGCAACGTGATCCCCGTTTCACGTACGGGTCAAACGCACAGAGTCGTCTTTCATTGGCAGCCATTAGTGATGCAGTGAGCAGGAGCTGTCTCAATCTGTTTCAGTTAGCCACTACCAGACAAGGGGAAACCAGTCTATAATGCAGATTGATAGCTGACTGAGAATTTCAATCACGGAGAACAATGGCTAAAAGGCTTTGGTCCTGACTGTGATGCAGACCCACAGCACACTCCGAGTATAACGATGCAGGGGATCCACAACAGGATTCAGGAGTGTGTGTGTGTGTGTGTGTCTACTTTTTAAACTTTTTTTTTACCTGTGTTTCTTACTGACCGTTGTCAGGCATACACCTGCACTGACACTGTAGGAGGATTATAATGGATTCTAGTCTCACCTGTCAACTCCACTTAGACACGGACGGCCGCGCACATGCGACCGAAGTCTGGTTTCGATTGCCGTTTTTCCTTCTTTTGTTTTGGCTTCTAACAACCGTCAGATGAATTACATCCCACAGATGGATGCAACGATTATTGTCTCCGATGATTTAGCAACTTGTTTTAGTTTCCCTACTAATCCTAAAAAGTGCCAAGGAAAAACAGCTCCCGCAGGACTACATACTGTGACAGTATCAAATGAGTTTCTTTACCGCGGAACAAATCGGAACATGAAAAATATATGAACAACAACAACAACAAATTATAATATTTAAATGTAGAAAGATGTCACATTTCAAATAAGTTTCAAACAACGACTTCCAATCGTTACATTTTTGTTACATTTCCCACATAGATGTTTTGAACGAAAGGCATTGGAAGATTTATACAGTCCTTTAAAAAAGAAAATCACTCTTACCACTGTGTGGTTTCATCAGTCCGTGGGTTAGTGGTAAGAGGATGTGGCCTGTCAGCAGAGGATCCCAGGTTTGAATCCCGTCCGGTCTGTGCAGTGTGTGCTGTGTTGATTTCCTCGCATTCTGCTCCCTAGAGATGGACACAAACCACAGGACAGATTTCATTGTGTGTTAATGTGTCTGTGAGACGACGGCTGCCTACATTTAGCTGGACTGTAAGAAAATACTGGAGGTCCTCGATGTGATGTTTTTATGTCCGCGATCAGTGTTTCCCTAACTTTTTTTCTGGGGATCCATATTTTAAAAGTCACAAACCTTCGCGGGAAACAAGATGCGAGACGACCAAAAAAAAAAAAATTCTCTTAGGTGGGACGCAGCCCAGTCTTTGGGAAACTTATGTACAGTATGTGAGTTCTGAACTACAGTGAAAATCCAGTTACGTTGTGCCATAGGAATAGAATTCCGCCGTAAGTCGAGGACGGCCGTAGTCAAAATCATAACGCGACTCCCCCGTCAGGCAAGTGTCAAATTTTGTTTTTTTATCTATTTTGAATTTTATAACCTGTGAAAATATGTTTTCATTATTTAAAAATGAAAGAAAATTTTTTTTATCTATTTTGAATTTTAACCTGTGAAAATATTTTTTCATTATTTAAAAATGAAAGAAAATATTTGTACTGTCTGTGGTATCATACTGTATTTTTAATTAAACAAAAGAACATTTTTCTAAAAAATTCCATGTTTTTTTTTTGTATTGAAAAGCACACACTGTGACGTCCATTCTACTGACAGTGGCAGCAGTGGTCCTTCAGCTCACATGAGTTTGAGATCCCTGATGTAAAGGCTTTGATTAGAATCTTAGAGAAACAAATGCTTCCATCAAGCTGAAATCTTTTTTTGTATTCTCAGAACATTAGTACTTTTGTTTCAAATTGAGACCGTGGTTTTGCAGACATGAAGTGTGCCTGCTTGACTAGAGGGTCTGCAGTCCTTATCTTTCATCTGGTAATTTTTCGCTCTTCAATAGCAGAGGAGAGTGGGATCAGACCGTAGCAGCCACAGAACGGTGAACAGACATGAGATTTTATTCAACAAGAAAAGGCCAAATATGAATAAAGAAGTGCAGAACAAAAGTATAAGAAAAAGAGAATATCATTATTTATCTCTAAAATGTATTTATTCAACAAATAATAATAAGAGAAGACTTAAAAAAAAGTAAAATCCAGAGCTTTTTACAGCCGAATTGGAAATTGCACCGACCTCGAATCTGAAGACGCTACTTTACCCTTTTAGTCTGGACTCCGTCTCATTCAAAAACAACCGTGTGCCTCTATACAAGCAATGAATTTAAGTCATTTGTTTCCTCCTTCTGTTGTTTTGGTTGTTTACAACACGGTTTTGAAATTGAACTGCCTGGAAAAAAAACCCTAACTTTATCTGCAGGGTGCAGTATTGTAAAGCACGGCGCTCTCATTGTTTTCAATATATATTTATTGTAAGCATCTCATTAGAAGATATTATAACAAAAACATGTAAATACATTTTTGGGGTAAATGTTTTTGTGTTTTACACCAGTAGTGACATCACATTGCCGGTTGGTTGACATTTACTACTTTATTG